TGTGTGTGTGTGTGAGTGTGAGTGTGAGTGAGTGTGTGTGTGTGTGTGTGTGTGTGTGTGACCTGCAGTGCTCGCAGCAGCTGGCTGCAGTGCTGAATCCTGGCGATGTCAAACAGCTGGTTAATGGCTCGATGGGCCAGCTCGGGTCGTTGTTCTGTGTACGCCTCGATAGCGTTCAGGATCTGATCCTCATTCTTGGAGCCGGTGATCTGCAAACACAGCAAATACAGTCAGACCACTGTAGCGACAGAAGAAGAGATGCTGTGTGTGTGTGTGTGTGTGTGGTGTGTGCGTGTGTGTGAGCATGATGGCGGCAGGTTGTAGGCCACTCGCTGGTGCAGGTGAACGCCAAAATGTTGTTTGGTAAAACTAAACAACCACACCCGTTGTAATTGCCATCGTTAAAGCAATAGGTGCAGATAAGATGCTTTGGGAACTATTGTGGACTATGTGCTTGATTGCAACAACCAAGCATTACTCACCGGGAGAATTTACCCATAGCAACTGAGTGATATGCTTAATATTGTGAAGATCTGCTGTATGCCACTGGTTCATGATTGTGTACATGTATTTAACTGCATCTGCAATATTTATGTCCATGTAAATTATTTAGTTTAAGTGGATTTAAATAAATTGTTAAAACGTGTGTGTGTGTGTGTGTGTGTGTGTGTGTGTGAGCGTGTGAGTGTGAGTGTGTGTGCGTGTGAGCGTGTGTGAGTGTGTGAGTGTGCGTGTGAGGGTGCGTGCGTGTGAGGGTGCGTGCGTGTGTGTGTGCGTGTGAGCGTGTGTGCACGTGGAGTGAGTGAGTGAGTGAGTGAGTGAGTGAGTGTGTGCGAGCGTGTGTGTGTGCAGTACCTTATACGCAGGGATGTGTGTGACGTTGCAGAGCATTGTGTTGTACAGTCCTAAGAACTGCAGCGGCCTCTTCAGCTCCTGAAACGGGTAAATGCTGCTCTTACACGGCTCGATGCTGTAAAACACAAACACACACGCTCAGACAAACACGGAGGGAGCGGCGTGTGATGGATGTGTGTGTGTGTGTGTGTGTGTGTGTCCTCACCTCGGCCGGCCCACGGCGTCCTCAAACGCCGGCACCGTGCAGTTATCCAGCATGATGTGTCCAGAGATGTCCAGAGACACCAGATCGACCAAACTCTGAACGATACTGCTCAAGGTCTTCCTCGTCATCTTGAATTTAGACGTTCTCTGATTCTCTCGTGAGATATCCAGGTGTCTGCAGACAGAACAGACGAAAACGGATCACTGCTCTGTTCCACATACACTACCAGACAAACGCACGGAATAATCACAATCTCTCTCGTGCTCACCAAGCCTGCATTTATTTGATCAAAAATACAACAAACAGTAATATTGTGAAATATTAATGCAATTTAGATCAGCTGTGAATATATGTTAAAATGTAAAAGCTGTATTTTCAGCATCATTACTCCAGTCTTCAGTGTCACATGATCCTTCAGAAATTAGGACGCATTCAAATTGTGTAAAGTGACAGTAAAAACATTTATAATGTTACAAAAGATTTCAATAATAAAAAAATGCTGTTCTTTTTAACTTTCTATTCATCTGTTATGCTTAAGTGAGTGAAGATCTGCTGTATGCCACTGGTTCATGATTGTGTACATGTATTTAAATGCATCTGCAATATTTATGTCCATGTAAATTATTTAGTTTAAGTGGATTTAAATAAATTGTTAAAACGTGTGTGTGTGTGTGTGTGTGTGTGTGTGTGTGAGCGTGTGAGTGTGAGTGTGTGTGCGTGTGAGCGTGTGTGAGTGTGTGAGTGTGCGTGTGAGGGTGCGTGCGTGTGAGGGTGCGTGCGTGTGTGTGTGCGTGTGAGCTTGTGTGCGATCAAAAATACAACAAACAGTAATATTGTGAAATATTAATGCAATTTAGATCAGCTGTGAATATATGTTAAAATGTAAAAGCTGTATTTTCAGCATCATTACTCCAGTCTTCAGTGTCACATGATCCTTCAGAAATTAGGACGCATTCAAATTGTGTAAAGTGACAGTAAAAACATTTATAATGTTACAAAAGATTTCAATAATAAAAAAATGCTGTTCTTTTTAACTTTCTATTCATCTGTGAATCCTGAAAAATAAAATGAATCACGGTTTCCACAAAAACATTTTGCAGCACAACCGTGTTCAACATTGATAATCAGAAATGTTTCTTGAGCAGCAAATCAGCATATTAGAATGATTTCTGAAGATCATGTGACACTGAAGACTGGAGTAATGATGCTGAAAATACAGCTGCGCATCACAGAAATACATTACAGTTTAACACATATTCACATAGAAAACAGCTGTTTTACATTCTAATAATATTTCGCTGTTTTTCTGTATTTTTGATTTAATAAATGCAGCCTTGGTGAGCAGAAGAGACTTCTTTCTTTCTTTCTTTCTATCACTGTATTTATTCCAGTCTTTAACCACTGGTGTAAAGGTGACCTCAGTCTGCTCATCTGCAGCAGCGTGTGGATCAGCTCCTCCGTCAGCTCCACGTTATACAGCACCAGAGACGCCAGTCGCTCGCTCCACTGCGTGAGGAAGGCCGGTCGAGGCAGATGGACGGACGACAGGTCCAGCGAGGTCAGAGCGGGCAGCGGCCGCAGCAGCGTCTCCACGTCCAGCTCCGCCGGCAGGCCTCCCAGGTTCAGCAGACGCAGACGGTTGAAGCCCTAGGGTTGTGACGGTGAGGACATTTTCATTTTGAGTTTTCCCTACTTTCCCCACTTTCCTTCGCTTTTAAACGTCAAAACTCTCTTAGCCTATATGTAATCATAGAACATTTATCAACAAAACTAATAAAAATACACCATGCTATATGCCTAATATAAAATATCAAATAACTTACACAAAGTTTAAATTGGGCTTACAAAACTGAAAATCAGTAAACACTGTGTAACCAAAAAAAATAAGAAACGTAGAATGTTTATTAGCAAACGAATAAAAAAAATTGGATGCACGGCATACACCTTGATGTAAAATAAAATACACAAAGTTTAAATAAAGTAAAAATCAGCAAACACTGTGGAACCAAATCAATAAGAAACAAATGCTTCCAAAATCACCTTAGATAAACAGCAAAAGTCAACAGGCTTTTCAAAATCCAAAATACTGCCAAACATGTGCTTCTGCATTTCGCTTCGAAACTAAATCTTCCGCTATCGTCTGGTCTGTCTCGTCTCACTCTTCTCGTCAGTCGGCTCGACTCACTCCTCAACGGTAAAGGTGTGCTCACACCAAACGTGAATTTAATTATTAGCGTGAGTAGATTACATACAGAGTCAATGCAAAGACGCGAATAGAGGCGAATTCGCGCGGGGTGACACGAAATGCGTGATATTTGCCTCAATCGCTCGCGTCTTCTGCGTCATTCTGTGTCAACTCAACCAGAGGTCCCCGGCTCAAATTTCAGATTTTGCTAATATTTATTCTGAAGAAAGATAAACATGTATAGTGATGAAAACCAAAATATTAAATGTCGTGGATGAATATTTACGGAGTAATCCACTATTTTGTAGAGGGGGGTCAAAATGGCAATTTTCACCTGAGATTCAGAGCCAAATTACAGGAGGTTAAAAATGACTTCAGAAAGATGGCAGCATCATAATGTTATTTTTAAACAGAGATTGGTTGCTTTATTAGTCAAATCTGTTGACTTCAGCAATCTTTGTTGCATTATGAGCCAACGGTGAGCATTCAAAATTGGGGAAAGAGCACTTTTCAAGTTTTTTCTCCAAAGCTTGCAGGCCTGTAACTCAAGAAGTATTAAAGATATCTTAATGACCTTTTAGATATTGGGTCCTCACAAACTTCTCTTTTGGCGTCTTCATTTTTAAGGCCCTATATGGTTCAGTTCCAGAGATCATGGAATCTCAACATGGCTCCTGGAGTAAAGCGTGGGTCACTTTGCAAAAATATGATAATTCTTTTCTTTTAAAGAGGAATGTCTGAAGAACAAATAATGTTGAAACTAGAAATGTATCTCCCGTCTGAGTGCCATAAGTATTCTTTTTCTAAAGTTTGTGTGCCTATAACTCAAGAAGTATTAAAGTAATCGCAATATAATTTTAGATTCTAGTTCTTAATAAACTTTTCTTTTGGAATCTTAATTTTCAAGGCCCTACATCGTTCAGTCTCAGAGATATGAGGATCTCAATGAGGCTCCATTTTCAGATTGTTGAATATTACCTATTTTCAGTGGTTGAAAACCAAATGTTGGTCACTTTGTATACAGCCGATACTTATTGTATTTAACGAACAATGTTAAAAGAAAAAATACTGTTGAAATTAGAATTGCATCTTGTTTCCCTCTATCAAAACAATATGCGCAGACATACCTGTCTGAGTGCTAAAAATGCACTTAAATGGTCAAGTTGAGGCACATTAACTTTCTCTCAGTAGTCTATTCTATATTTGAATCCGTTTTAGGGATATTTGGAAGAAAGGATTTTGTTCGTTTTAACAGCTTGTGAAACTACCAAGTGTTCAGATATGCGGTATCACAACAAATCCCATGCCTCATAGGCAAAAGTGGTTGCTTTTGCCAAACATTTTATTCACATCAATAAACAAAAGATTTGCCTCATCTGGATTAATTATTAAAATGTCTTTTTCTCATTTATTGTTATAAAATTTCATATTTTCAGGGCCTTGAAAATAAAGATTCCAAAAGAAAAGTTTAATTTGGTACCGAACGACGAGACGTTTTTCGATACTCGATGGTATCGAGGCAATTCGGTCGGTGCCTAAAAAGTATCGAACTCGATACCCAGCCCTAGCCAAAAGAGAAGTTTGTGAGGACCCAATATCTAAAAGGGCATTAAGATATCTTGAATACTTTTTGAGTTACAGGTCTGCAAACTTTGGAGAAAAAACTTGAAAAGTGCTGTTTCCCCATTTTTGAATGCTCACCATTGGTTCATAATGCAACAAAGATTGCTGAAGTCAACAGATTTGACTAAAACTTCTCTTTTGGCGTCTTCATTTTTAAGGCCCTATATGGTTCAGTTCCAGAGATCATGGAATCTCAACATGGCTCCTGGAGTAAAGCGTGGGTCACTTTGCAAAAATATGATAATTCTTTTCTTTTAAAGAGGAATGTCTGAAGAACAAATAATGTTGAAACTAGAAATGTATCTCCCGTCTGAGTGCCATAAGTATTCTTTTTCTAAAGTTTGTGTGCCTATAACTCAAGAAGTATTAAAGTAATCGCAATATAATTTTAGATTCTAGTTCTTAATAAACTTTTCTTTTGGAATCTTTATTTTCAAGGCCCTGTATCATTCAGTCCCAGAGACATGGGGACCTCAATGAGGTCCTATATTCAGACTGTTGAATAATACCCATTTTCAGTGGTTGAAAACCAAATGTTGGTCACTTTGTATACAGCCGATACTTATTGTATTTAACGAACAATGTTAAAAGAAAAAATACTGTTGAAATTAGAATTGCATCTTGTTTCCCTCTATCAAAACAATATGCGCAGACATACCTGTCTGAGTGCTAAAAATGCACTTAAATGGTCAAGTTGAGGCACATTAACTTTCTCTCAGTAGTCTATTCTATATTTGAATCCGTTTTAGGGATATTTGGAAGAAAGGATTTTGTTCGTTTTAACAGCTTGTGAAACTACCATGTGTTCAGATATGCGGTATCACAACAAATCCCATGCCTCATAGGCAAAAGTGGTTGCTTTTGCCAAACATTTTATTCACATCAATAAACAAAAGATTTGCCTCATCTGGATTAATTATTAAAATGTCTTTTTCTCATTTATTGTTATAAAATTTCATATTTTCAGGGCCTTGAAAATAAAGATTCCAAAAGAAAAGTTTATTAAGAACTGGAATCTAAAATTATATTGTGATATCTTTAATACTTCTTGAGTTATAGGCACACAAACTTTAGAAAAAGAATACTTATGGCACTCAGACGGGTATGTTCAATGCAGATGTTTTGACAGAAGGAAATGAGATACATTTCTAGTTTCAAACCAATCTCTGTGTAAAATAACATTATGATGCTGCCATCTTTCTGAAGTCATTTTTAACCTCCTGTAATTAGGCTCTGAATCTCATGTGAAAATTGCCATTTTGACCCCCCTCTACAAAATAGTGGATTACTCAGTAAATATTCATCTATGACATTTAATATTTTGGCTTTCATCACTATACATGTTTATATTTCTTCAGAATAAATATTAGCAAAATCAAAAATTTGAGCCGGGGACCTCTGGTTGAGTTGACAGGGAATGACGCAGTAGTAAAATTGAACACATTAATGCAGGATCAATACTCATCCTCCTCTGGATGGTGCAGTGAAACCAGACTCGTCGGCTTTGGCTTTCCATCGTATTTGGGACTTTCACAACAGGTACAAAGCAGCGATCGTAGTTATCTCCACCATGGTTGATCGCGTGATGTTTTTATTTGTGCGAGTGACACAAAAAACATCTAGAGCGAGTGATGCGATGCGCATATTCGCTTCGCGTTTGGTGTGAACACACCGTAAGACCGTAAACACCGACTACGGCAGCCAGCCTACCTGGAAGCTGAAGTCCAGGTCCACGGTGTGCCGCTGCAGACGCTCCTCCAGATCCTCCTCGTCCTCGTCCTCGCCGGCCGCCAGCGGAGCGCCGCTCTTCCTGAAGAAGACGCTGGAGCAGCCGAACAGACTGAGCAACAGCAGCGAGTGTCTGAAGCTGCAGAGCGTCCGCAGGCCGCGCGCCGTCAGACGGCTACAGTAGGTCAGGTGAAGCTCCATCAGATCCTGCAAACATCACACAGACACGTCTCTAGAGGAATCAGTGGAGGACAGACATGGTTAGAGGAACTAATAAAGAGCAGTTTGTGATCTGGAGAGACGATCTAAATCTAAACGAGTTTGAGAACTATTTTGTTAAACTTTGGCAGTAGTTTAGTTTGGAGTCACTGAAATTGTTGGAAAGTTCATTTCATTTCAGCAAACCAGCTCCTTCAAACCGAACAGCTCAACGAATCAAATCAGAACTCATTCAACGCTTCATTTGTTACACATTGTTTCAAAACAGCTTTACAAAAAAAAAAATCATGATTTGTGACCCTGGAGCACAAAACCAGTCATAAGGGTCAATTTTTTTTAAATTGAGATTTATACATCATCATGTCCTAAACGCGCGTTTTTTTTGTTTTTTGGGTTGAGAGCTTATAAAAACGTAGTTCTGGGTTTTGTAGCTTGTTTGCTGTACACCTTGTCACACAGCAGCTTTTAGACATTGTTCTGTGTTTTGTTATAAAGTCAGAAATGACGAGGAGGCAGCTTCCCGCAATACAAAGTCAATGGAGAGCGTTAGATTGCCGGTGATTGCCTGTGTTTGTTGTCCATAACATACGCCTGCCCATAGCATAACCCCACCGCCACCATGGGCCACTCGATCCACAACGTTGACATCAGCAAACCACTCACATACACGACGCCATACACGCTGTCTGCCATCTGCCCTGTACAGTGAAAACCGGGATTCATCCGTGAAGAGAACACCTCTCCAAAGTGCCAGACGCCATAGAATGTGAGCATTTGCCCACTAAAGTCAATTACGACGACGAACTGCAGTCAGGTCGAGACCCCGATGAGGACGACGAGCATGCAGATGAGCTTTCTGACAGTTTGTGCAGAAATTCTTTGGTTATGCAAAACCAATTGTTGCAGCAGCTGTCCGGGTGGATGGTCTCAGATGATCTTGGAGGTGAAGATGCTGGATGTGGAGGTCCTGGGCTGGTGTGGTTACACATGGTCTGCGGTTGTGAGGCCGGTTGGATGTACTGCCAAATTCTCTGAAACGCATGTGGAGACTGCTTATGGTAGAGAAATTAACATTCAATTCACGGGCAACAGCTCTGGTGGACATTCCTGCAGTCAG